GTCAAGGAAACTCTCAGTTGGTTTCAGAGAAAGAAACTAAAGCTGCTGGAATGGCCCAGCCAATCACCTGGTTTACAGTTTGCCATTCCACATTATTACAAATAACTTCATTTCTGGACATTTATGGCTTGATTTCTTTGTATGTATGGATCACTTGGGTTGTTACCGAAACTCTGGTGAAAATTTCATGTCATTAGCACCTCTAGTAATATATTTACTGAGAAAAATGTTGACGTGTTCAATACATATGTTACCCGCTGTAACCTCTGGGTCATCTCAGCAGATCAGTCATTTCATGCTACATGAGTCATTTAATAAGAAACAACGTTTAAGTTTGAGTTGGGTTACAAATTTGTACTGAATTCCTTTCCTGTGCGGTGTAGCTCCTGTAGCCACAGCTGGGCTGTGACTGAAGTTACGCTCTATTGTACATTTGTAGTTTGAAAGCTTAGAACTCCACACTCCAGTTTCAAGTCAAGATAGTGCTTCAGATGGGAGGCAAACCTCTTCAGCCACAGAATAAAAGTATTTTGTTTGTTATTTGGGGGTCAAAAATCTGATATCAACATCTTAAATTGAGGCTTCCTTTTTGTTTAAAACAAGCTATCCATATGGTCGTATTTAGATCTGACAATTTGCTCCGCTTTATATAGACCAGAGTTCATTTCCAGCGTTGGTCCGGACCTTTTGTGCAAGTGTGAATACACTCATGCGAACTCTGGTGCGGATCAAACAACCGGACCGAGACCCGCTTTTTGAGGTGATCTCGGTTTGTTTCCAAACGAACTCTGGTGCGGTTCACTTCAGTTCTCTTCTGGTGTGAATACAGACCGGACTCTAACCGAACCAACTGCATTAAACACGCACCTTTTTGGACTTCACAGGCCACCGTTGCTGAGCTTAATAAACTGAAAACAGACCTGTTTCATCGTCTCCTGTTAGCAGTTCTGCTGCCAGCATGATGTGGGTCAGAACACACAGAGCACCTCTTCTCCTTTGGGCCGCGGGACACATTCACTGACTTTGCTCCAAAATTAGAATGTCATCACRAAACCACCATTAAATTAGCTGCTATTAAATGCTGTTTAAATGCTATTGCAGTTGTACTAACAGCATAAATGTGCGCATCAGAACCGCAGCATGCAGGACTTTCTTGTTTTCTTCTGGGTCTGTGCGCTTAGTCCCGCCCCTGTCCTTTCTGTCCAGTGGGAGCAATGATCGTCATCCTCATGGCTTTGTTTACAAGTTATAGTTCGTTTGCAAAAATGCACAATGTGAATGCAAACCGCACCAAACGAAAAAAATAAAGTCCACTTTTGGTCTGGACCAAACAAGTGGACCAAAGGACTTTCCTGGACTGAATACTCCCCAAAAGTACATATTAACTCAAACCTAAAATATGTTTATTTTTAAATGAATCAATAACAGCCTGTTTGTATTTTTACTGAGGTATCTTGTTGTGCATTGCCTATAGATCAGGTGTGCCCAAACATTTTCCCCGAGGGGGCCAAAATGAAAATCTATCCATGGCTGCGGGCCAAATGCAGTTATATAATACACAAAATACAAATACTTTTTAAAAGCAAAGTCCTTTATTTTTAACCATTAAGCTGTGCAATGGTCCTCTTTTGTTTTAGTCTGTGCACTTGGAGAAACTCTGCCATACGCTCAAATAGCAAAGGCTCATGGGACATTTCATAAATTGATAAAATATGAGTTTTTTTGGCCTTATAAAGTGTGCAAATCTACATGCGGGGTTAAATCTGATCTAAATATTTCTTGTTGCCATTTCATGTTTCTTGTTTAATTCTAATAAATCAAAGATATGTCATTACCATGACTGAAAACTACCTTCACTACAGCCCTTTTATATAATCATTTGACTTATGTAAATACTGTTTCTACCTATAGGATAACAGGTTACAACCTTGTAACTTTGGCAACTGTTGGTGGGCTAAATCAAATGGCTTGGCGGGCCAAATTTGGCCCGCGGGCCCCACTTTGGGCTCCTCTGCTATAGATGGTTCTCGAATGACGTAGTAACCTGCAGATCACGTGATCAAATTGTCATATTCGTGGGA